TTTGATGCAGTAACATGTCCCATTCACTAACAATTGCACCTAATTAGTCCGTCAGATATAAATACGTTACTGGATGAAACACTACGCTCCCTCCTACAATCCGGCGCACTAGAGGTGGCGAGGGGGGACAGGGGACAAGGCAAGCGGGGTGAGGGGGACACGTCGCATGTAGCAGTGCGGGAGTGTCGCGTGTATAATGATACTGAGCTGGCCGTCAGCGCATTGGGCAGTGCTGCTATTAAAGGTAAGTTGACTTGGTCATCGGTAGGTTCCCAGTTTACTTCTAATGCTGAACATAATAGGTTTCTCCTATAACACGCTGCGTCTGTCACCTGAGCTCAACTCCCAGCATTTTGAATCCAACTGCTGTAAAAATAGTTTAATCTAGCTGGACGGAAGGTGCATGTGGTCTAAACTGAACCTCAATTGTCATAATTGACGTTCAGTTCAGTGGAGACCACATCTTGACCACATTTGGTTCGATCGAAAGTCTAAACTAGAGTTTAGTAAATTCATTCATTAGAAAAATCTCCAATGGTTTTTTCAGCCATTTTTTTAAATTCTAGGAACAGTTTTATAGTTCACACACATTATTATTTTGCTTATTCTTAAAATGTATGTTTTTCGTAGCTTGCATGGACTTGACAGCGGCAGAGCAGTTCCTGGTAGACTTGGATCAAGCCTCCAAGAGCTTGGTGGTGATGGGGAGCCTGCATCTGTTGTACCTGGTCACGCCACAAGATGCCGCATCCATCAAGCCGGACTATGCTCATTATTATTCTTTGGTAAGTGAGTAACTGCATCGTCAAGTGTCACGCTCTCGAGTTTGATTCTCATGCAGAATGAACAAATATTTGTTTAGGTTCGTATAACTTACTGCATTGCATTACGCAGAAGTTCAACTAGTTTCGAGCTCAACCAGAGCCCTATGACATCAATGTGGTATGATGTAGCATCGTTGATATTTTTTGTATCGATTTTTTTTCAGTATTCCGCTTTGGACGAAGAAGGTATTCAGACTGCGAAGGTATTAGGAATCACTGAGCAAAACGCTATCCGTATGATGACAGGGAAACCTATTACAGTAAGCATATTTTATTGTTTTTAGACGTTTCTTGTTGTGCGAACTTCAAGTTATGACAAACTGTAAAAACTACTAACTATTCACAGATTTTCAACCCTATGACCTTGTAATAAAGTTGTAAATACGCCAAAGAAATACCTTTTCATAATAATGTTTTATGTGTTACAGAACGTGTCTGAGAGAGTATTGTGTCGGTTCTACTTAGCTATGATGCTGCATGATTTGTGGAAGCAAGTTCCCTTTGCCACCGTGGCTCATAAGTAAGTTAGTAAACTGACCGATAGACGATGAATATGTGTTTTTTACTAAAGTAGTTGTATAAATCCTTATACATATTTGACAGACTTATGCCGGAATACTGAAACGTTACTCAATTTTAAGTCGTGCTCAAATATAGTGCCATCTCTGTCATTTTACAAAGAATTTGTAGAGATAGAACTATACTTAAGCACGACTTAAAATTGAGTAGCGTTTCAGTATTCCGACAATAGGCTAATAGTTTTTTTACTTATTAAAACAGTGACACTTAATCAGTAATTTGCAGAGGGGGAACTAGGAGGGGGAAAGGGGTAACATTTCTATTATCTTTAATGTTTCTAAAGCCGTCCTCTATTTTGTGTCCATTATTTCTCGAGATTTAACCAATATCTCCCCGGTCGGTATTTGGCGATTAAACGTAAAATAGATTTATTTGCATATATGCGTTGCAAATTCTGTAATTAAACCAATAGAATTACTACAATTGGAATTTGTAAAACGGACTGCAGTTACTTTAAGTCAGCCACGGCCGAGAATATGGTTTTAACTCAAAGTTGGCCTCCTATTTTTTCTTTAAAAAAATACGTAAAACATTGGAAAAAATATCTAAAAATATAGTAAAAACACTTACTACTGGTAATAAAGCTGAAAACAATAAAAAAGAAATGTCTTACCGTTCTAATTTCAATTCCCGAAGTGTGGGTATTCACAGCAAGTAGGTACTTTAAATATGAAATTGACACTTTGACGGTATAATCACTACTTCCGCTCAGTGTGCGAAGAGTGAGTAAGGTAATCGGATGGTAATGGTTTGTACATACATATGTAGTATGAACTAAGGTTCCAATTAGGGTGGTATTTTTGATCAAGTTTTAAATGAACGCAAGCTGAAAATGTCCAGACGGCCGAAGTTTGGGGGGGGGGGGGGCGGCGAAGTTTGGCCTAGTACCATGTGATGACTCCCGTCCAGGTACAACGTGTCCCGCGGCGTGGTGCAGGGCGTGCTGGCGGCGGCGTGCACCGCGGCGGTGAGCGGCGCGCGGCTGTGCGCGGCGCTGCCGTCCCGCTGGGCGGCCGCCGCGCTGCTGGCCGAGCTGGCGCCGCGCCTGCAGCACGCCGCCGCGCCGGAGCTCACGCTGCTCATGGATTTGCCTAATGTTAAGAAGGTTTGTGTGACTGACTTTGTTTCGTCCGAACTTTTAGTAAATAGATTGTACCGAATCTGATTCAGGCTCAAAGTGGATGGATGGAAGATTCAGTTGAATATTAATATTTAATTTGGAATGATTGATAAATATTCGTAGGTTTCTGCGCGAACTAGTATAGCATTGAAGTTTAGGAAAAGATATCAATAGTTTTACAAAGTCAACCTTGCACTTTTGATGCTTCTGGTGTTGTAGTTTGACCTTTTACGTTTAGTTTAGTCGGTTCATAGATCTTGTTACCTATATTATAATACGGGTAGTTATAAAAGCTCCGACAAGAAAAGAAGAATTGTCCTTCCTTACTGAAAATATTAAATCTACTGCCTAAAATACTAACTTTCCGACTACTTTACATGACTGTTTATTGCTACAATACTAACCCAACCTAACCTAAAACGTCTGTTGTCGGTAACTTAGTAATTTTGTCGGAGGTTCAATATTCTATTCGGAAGTTTAGTTTTGTTATTCGAAAATCCATTTTTATAGTCGGCCACAGATCGCTGGAGATTAATTTGTTTTTCGGAACCATTATTAACCTTAGAACCTTATAATACTAGCAAAAATTCAAATACAGACCTCCACTTAGAGACCGAGACAATGGTTTCATTATTTACTATATGACAAAGTAAAATTATGTTTAAATAGCCTCTTGTCTGTTGAAACACCGGCTCCCGGTATAAACACATTATGGCCGCAATTTTCAACCGACAAGAGGCTATACAGACTTCAAATTACAATCCAAAAAGTATTTATTATTCATTGTACTCAGTACTTAGTCCTACCTACTACAAAAGTATAGGTGCTTATTAACTTCGGTATGGGTAAATAATATTTCGTTATGGGAAGTCGATTAAATATTAGGCAGCATTGATGATATTTTTTTTATGGCATAAGTCGACAAACGAGCAGACGGACCATCTCTGGTGGTAAGCAATTGGCGCCGCCCATGGATACCTGAAACACCAAGGCCTTATAAGTGCGTTACCGGCCTTTTGGGAATTGGGATTTGAGGATTGTGAAGGATTCGGGGATTGGGAACACTGGAGAGGATTACCCCCCGGAATTGAGATATGGGTTCTGTATGATTAGCATAACATTCCGTTCTCCAGGCGCGCGCGCTACAGTTGTCCCGCGCGGGGTACCGGCGCGTGGAGGACGTGGCGCGCGCCGGCGCCGCCGACCTGTGCGGCGCGCTGCCGCATCTCTCGCGCGCCGCCGCCACGCAGCTCATCAGCGCGGCACGGGTACTCATACACTTCTTTTTGACGAGTTTTTATAAAAACCTAACCCCCACCCTACGATTTTCTACTGTGTCGTGGGTACTTTTACAAACATACTAGTTCACATACACAATGACACTCAGACCTGAAACAACAATTTGCGGACCACACAATGAGTCGAACACCGCGCCAACCGAGCAGTCTCTCGTGTAGTTCTCCCGTCTTGGGTGAGGCGAGACGGAGTATCACTCTTACTGACTACAACCACCCCATTCCTACTTCTGCTCTTGAAGCCGGAACCCCGACAACCCGCTTAGTCCTCCGCGGCTCAAGGTTTATGTTACACTTACGACAATTTATACTTTTATTATGTAGGTAGGTAGGCCAGCAATAAACTCATTTCTTTCTTTGTTACATTTTATTAAACTTTATTGCTCTGGTATAAAGTAAAAAACATGATCATATACTTATATACCTTTGAAGTTGGTTCTGCAATTATATTGCTTTTTTTTTTTTTTAAATGTTGCCCCACACTATTTGGATTGGTGTTTGTAGCTGTACCTACCTATAATGTAATTATTATTTTTTTAATTAATATTATAACATGTTTTGCAGATGATACTCATTGAAAAAGTGGAAAATCTTCGAGCTGAAGCTGAAGACGTCATGGATGAGCTTAATTCTTGATGAAAAATACCCACTGCTTTGTACCATACGCCATAAACAACACGTCTTTATTCCTCGAAGGAAGGGCATCAGTTAATAATTAGACTCATTTTGTTTTGTGCAATTTATATTTAAATAAATATTGTGTAATTTTTTCAGTTGTCTAAATGAATGAAATAAGTTGAGTAAAAGTATAATGTGATTTTTGTGTGTAAAATCAATGATCACAAATAAAATCAATTTAATGTACAACTAAAATATGTGATATGTTTTGTAAATAATACGGCCATGATATATTATGTAATTTAAAGACTGTAAAATATTTAGTATGTAAGGAAATGAATGAGGTGTAATGGCATTTATTTTTGATATTTAAATAAAATATTTTCATGAAAATGATGTTATTATTTTGGTCGCTACATTAACCGAGGAAATAAAAAAGCTAGGTAGTTAATTGAATGTCTGATTTAGCTAGCTGGCTGCTACATGATATTTATATGCGTTGATTTTAACATAAACATTACAAAATTTGGGAAAGGGTTTTAAAAGTATTAAAAGAAGTTTAACTTATTCATGAATTTGATTTATTCATCGTCTTTTGTACAAACATGGTTTCAATGTTAACGCTGGTAGTTTAGCCTTCTTCACGGGCGGGTCTCTGATCTTGGTGAACTCCATGAAGTAGAATACTTTATTGCTCTTATCCAACTGTTTCAGTTTGAATCCAAGTCTCTCCACCTCCTTCGCAAAGTCCTCCACTTTATCGAAACGACTTTCTACTTCAGCTATTAAAAGATGGCCTCTGTAAACAAAATGCATGTTATATGTTAGTTAGAAGAAAGATCATTTTTAATAAATTTTTTATCATTTGACCTAGGTTTTCATTGTGATGGGATCAGAACAAAATTGGTATGGGTAACATGCAGTTTCTAGTAAGAAAAACATTGTTAATTCTATATGAAACCTTAAAAGCTAAATTTTAATAAACTCCTAGCTTCGAAAATCCTAGCTGAAACGACTGTGTAGTCATAACTGAGTAGTACATAGTGTACGTTATGACTGAGTCCAAATGGTGAGTAAGAGATTGTAGATACGGTGCCAATTTCGTCAACCCCGTCACTCTCTACTCACTCCATTAGGTATAGACCTTATTTCCGATCTTTAGAGATTACTTTTGTATGAACACAAAATTTAGTGGACTTACCCCATTTTCAGCACACGGTTAGCTTCAAGCAGATACTGAGTTAAGTCAGTGCCCATCAGAGCGAGGCAATAGACAGTGACATCCATGGAGGCAGACAGTAGTGGTGTCCGTGCCATGTCACAGGCCTCCACTCCCGGCGCAGTGGCCACCAGGTCGAAGGAGCGCACTTTGTGAGGCACTCGCCGTGACAATGCCGCTTCTCCACAACCTAAGTCTGCTATGGTATGGGTTTTGGGCCTAAAAACAAAAAGGTTTCTTTTTCATTATGATGATTAAAAGGGAAGCGTCTGAGATATTTTATCATAAATTGGGGCAAAATTGTTGATGTGCTATTTTATAGTCATTAAAGTGTGCAAGGACTGGTGTCCTTACAGAAGCATGATTAAAGAAAAGTAAGTGGATTTAGTCAGTGCATTGCAAGTGTTTGTATATTTATCATGTGAACTTGAAATCTGTGGGCATTGGTTCTAAATTGTTGACATTGGTCCACAGTTCATAACAAACGCTTAAATTAAAACCAATTTACATTTTCATAATTTTCTTAATAATAACATCAAGTGGATTGACGGGCCACTTCTTGACTTGCAGCTGATATCCTTGGTGGTATGTCTCAAAGGCATTTGGGTCATTCTGGAACAATTGCTGGGCTTCAGACCCTGATGATGTGTACAGCTTCTCATTTAAATATCGGAATTGAGCAGCTGAAAAAAAAAATTAGTAACATTGTGTTTAGATCAAAGGTTACTTTTGTTGTTATTACTTGATAGTAACAACGACTGCTGATGCTCTTACTGAATATTGTGAATTAGAGTAATTTTTTTCTAATTAGATCTGGACAGCTATTTAAATTTATACAATTTTAAGATATGCATTAGTAAAATTAAACAAAATTATAGTATCAATACCTTTTAATCTCTCCAGCATTCTATCTCTCAGCTTGTTCCCAGTGTTACTTGTGTTAATAGGTCTACGAAGACTACTAGTTTTATCTAACAACTGTTTAAATCTAGCTTTTTTCTTATCAACACGTTCAACATTCTCTACAACTTCACTATTTCCCTTATTATTCTGATTTTTTACTATCTTTGAGTTTGAATTATTATCCTTTGTACCCATGATGCCATTTTTAACCTTTTTGTTTTTATTACTCTTCTGTTTCTTTTCAGTAAACAATACATCTTCTTTGTCATCATTTTCAATGACTTGGTTAAACTTTTTCTTTTTAGCGTTTAGTAGTACTTCATCGAAGTTCTGTGATTCTGGTATTTCAACATCTTCCTCAATTTTTTTCCTCTTTTTATTTGGTGTTGTATCTTTTTTCGTTTTGTTTGTTGTGTTTTGTTCAATCTTTCGTTTTTGTGCTGCCTTTTTAGGGCCATTGCCTTTGATTTTGTCATTCTTTTCTTTAACATTATTATCTACTTTAGTTTGTTTACTGTTGTCTATTGTAGATTTTTCTTTTTTCTGAAAATAAATAATGTTAGGCAATCGGCTGGGGGGCTATATCACGGACTTCAAGTTTCGGGGAACGTAGGGAATGACACTAATAAGTAAATTTAGGGAGATGAAGAGAAACTTAAGCTTCATAACTTAATGAATTAAAGGTATTTGTGGCTTCTGCAGCAACAAACATGTGACTCCGGTGGTTTAATTTTTGATCGAATCTTAAGTACAATTTACCTTAACTTTCTGCATAATTGGCAGGGCAATGGCATCAGTTTTGGGGACATCATCTTCCCAAGCTGGTATTTTAAACATCATTAATATAGCTTAAATAATATAACACCTGATTATAAAAATAATATTTAGGTTATGTTTACAACAGTCCACGATCTGTCAACCAAAGAGTAATAAGTATAGCAACTATTGCAAAACTCAAAGCATATGATGACATTAGGGCGGCATAGGCAGTTGTCAGTGTCAAAAATTGAGATTGACAGCTTCTCGCATCGAATTGGATTTACGTTTTGTTTTACAACACTGCTCAATTGCCATTCAAGAAAGAAACTAAAGCGTTTACTTTTGAACACACCTCGTGTTATCATAGTCAAATTGTCAAAATCATATAAGTATTATATTGACGTCATAACAAACACCATAACATAACGTCTCACCTCTGTCGTCCAAAGGAGATGTACTGGTAGAGATTCACTTGCACATAATTCTTACAAGTAACATTACCGGTTCGATTCCCGCATGGAACAACCGTGCGGGAATCGAACCCGCGACACGTTGCGCGGTAGCCAGTTGCCCAACCACTGCACCAACCTGCAGTCAATGGAATAAGTAGGTAGGTACAAAATTAAAAAAAAAAACAAATCGTATGGGATATGGTGGCATACGGATCACTTGGTCTGATTGTAACCAATTAGTGCTGCTCATGGAGATAAGTAACATCTCAGAGTACAAGTATTTTCTGGGTCTTTGAGGTCTAGTTTTCAAGAGGATTGAACCTGCGGTAATCTCACTCAACGGCGGAACAACACAAGTATTGTTTCACGCTGGTGTTCTCCGAGACTGTGGTATCAATCAGGTCGAGAGATTCATTCGTGACGCCGCCCTCGCACGTGAAGATGAACCTAGGCCTAATAACTATTTCTATTGGCCTTTTTCCAATTAATTTTAGGGATCGGCGTTGTACTCTGTACTATATTCAAATGATTGTCAGTGTTTATCGTGGAGTGACTGCCATTTGCCGCCCACAACGGAACCGGTAAATTTATTTGTGAGGTGGATATTAAACTACAACTTGACAAACACAACAGTACCTAGCTATCTAGCTACTACTACCACAAGAACCTGAGTGAGAGATCAATGAAAAATTATCTTCCCTTAATTTTAAGTGGTTAAAATTCGCGCTGGAATCACTCTTCACATCAATGTTTATCTTTATCCTTAAGCTTTTTATAGCTTGACACTTATATAGGGCAAAGATATTGCTTCCAATATCGTTCGTGTTACGTTGCATGTTGCACAAGCGAAGACGCAAGTGAGTAGGTTATGTAATTGTAGTTGCATAGTTAATTATAAACAAATTAACTTTTATGTTTTCAATATAACTGTAGGTACTCCAATGTACTCAACCGTGGCATATCGAGTAAGTAATTAGGTAAGTGTAACAATCTAAATACGTTATTTTTTTAAGGGGTAGGTCCTGGTATGATCATTAAGTATTTTCTCTCGCCTTTGGGTGAGGCGAGAAAGAGTGTCCGACTCTTACACCCGAAAGGCTACTCAATTATAATTTGCACTTAAATGTCGTGCCATCTCTGTCATTAAAAAGAATTTGTAATGAAATGACAGAATTATACTTAAGCACGAGTGGCGTTTGAGTATCCGCCCGCACCGGTTGTCCGCAGTTCCGTAAGAATCTAAATACCGAGGAGTCATATTATAATAAAGTTTCTAAGCAACACTTTAATAGTTAATTACTTAATTAAATAGTTTTATTCTATGACTTGTTTTTTAGTCAGTTAGGTACCAAATATCAGTAACGGTAAAGTCACGTGACTTGTAATTGTATGAATTATTCAAATAGGTATTGTCTATCAGTTGTGTGGACTGGGTGTCTGTTCTGAGTTCTGTCGCATACATGTGTGTATCTCTACCTCCCTATCTACCTACATTCCACTGATAGGACTCTGCTGATTGCAGTACCTACCTACGTGTGCCCTGGGAACACTGCGCAAGTCCGTAACCCTGACATGCGCGAACCTGGTCAAATTTCACCACCCTCAATTTTGTGTTTGTGTTATTTATGAAATTAAAACAAAAAGAAAACAATCTAGCTTAACTTTTTTTACAAAATTGTTACCTTGAAATACCGTATTTATATTGTAGCTGGTGATTTGATAAATTGGTACATTTTTATAAATATAAATAACCTCAAAGACAATGCAGTTGTTTTTAATAATTAAGTGTGTGTTGTGGTAACAGTGACGTGCATTTGTGAAAATAAGGTGTTTTATAGTGCCGCAATGTTTATGTAATTGCTGTAAGCATTCTTATTACCGGCGTAACTGATGTAAGTGGGCACCGAGGTGTAATTTGTGTTAGATAGAGCCCCTTAATATTTTCCGAATGTGACACCTGCGCGAACATTAGGTATTATTTAGATTTTTTACATAGAATGTAGGTCTAAACGTATCTAATAAATAGGTTTAGTGTTTTGCAAGCGTTTTCGTTACGTTTAGGTAATTGTAAATACATGAGATGATCTACCTGCAATAAATGTCATAATTAAAAAAAATTACATGACGTTCGTGCAGGTTTCATTACTTACTATCACTACCGAAGTGTTTAAGGTTATTATATGCAAAACTGTAGGTTACCAAAATACTGCATAGCGATAAATATTTAAATTAACCGACGTGAGTGTGACATGTTTATGTAGTTCTATTTAAATTAATACTCTTCCTCAAAAGCTAATGAGATCGAATCTCTAAATTAAGTATACTTACAATTTATTCAGTAACGTAAAAATAAATAAGTGGAATAAACCGTGCACTTAGTAGATTAAACTTATACTGTAGGTACTTATGCTAAATTAAAACTGCCAGGTGCTTTTAATCTCCTAAAGTTTATGATGAAGAAGATAGGTGTTCTTTGAGTCTTCTTTTTTCATCTATCATAATTGTATTCTTTCTATCAGAAGTCATCACATCACTACTTCTGTTTTCTTTCTAAGTAAATGGTTAGCAAACTATGCATGTTTTTTTAAACCTTTCATTACGACAGCAAATGATTACGGCAATACCGCCGCTAACGTAAAACCAGTGCAGCGGTTGACATGTTAATCGTTTCCTTTACTGAAAATGTATTGCTCACACATACTAAAAAAATCTTTCCCTTTAGTTACTTAGGTACTACCTACGTGAAGTTATATTTAATTTTAACAGATGCACAAAATTAAAAGTAACACTCAGGACTCTAACCAAAACTTCTGCATCGGAATTTAGAATGATAGATGTACCTACAGTGTTTTTCTCGTCGTCAAATTATAATTTTATTGTCACTTATTGTCAGTGGCCAGTGGCCTAACTATGGGATGGCAAGTCGACAAAAAGCCACGTGCTCCAGCTGGAAGGGGGCCCGCTCAGAGGGTATCATCTGAACTTCTCTGTTTTTTAATGAGAACGGGGGCCCATGCAATGAATTTACCACGGGCCCCGAACTGTACCTATACTTACGCTTACGCCACTGTCAGTGAGGAGCCGTCTCCTTTACATTGTAAATTCATTGACCGTTTATTTGTTGATACTTTGATTATTAAATACATATGTATCTACTCATTTTACTCTTTGTGATGACTCTGAAAGAGAATTCTTTATATATTGCACATCACCTAATTTGCATATTACCAAGTACCTATCAACTAATTTCCATGACACCTGTCTATGTTCTTATGTTTATCGGAAAATTGCTATTATTAAAATAGAATCATTTTGTATTCTGAGGTAATATAAAGCCAGTGTTTTATACCTAATACAAAGTGAAATAATACGTCAATACGTTAACGTACCTAGGTATCAATTATTTTTCCATTATGTGATAACCGATCAGCAGTTGGTTTTGTTTGTAGCCAAGCTATTGTTATTTATTTTCTTCATTTTAATAAAGCATTGCTTTAGAATGCCCCATTGTGTTTTTGACATAATATTATCTAACAAAACTAGTCTGATATTACTAATAGGTAGTTAGGTCCTAATGGATGAACTTTTGGTAAATTTAAAAAAGATTACCTTATCCACATTAAACACGTAGGTAAACGCAAAAGCTTGTAGGTACTAGGTACATTTCTTGATCACCCCGGTAACACATAAGTAATCTGTGCAAGTAAGGTACACCTGGATTAACTCGTACAATTATTTTCTGTTACTAGATCTATAACTCCTGCATCTAAGAACCTGAATAAAATGCTGATGCTATCTAGATGATGCTGAAATAACTGCCCAGTGCGTAACTGAAAAATTTGAAGCAGACAAATGGGAATAAGAAATAAAGGGGTAAGTTTTGTAGAAACATCACTATTTTTTAAATTGTGTTTGAAGTACCTGTGTTTGAACAATGTATTCTGCAACAGCGGGACTGGCGGTTCCAATGGAGCATGGTGATGATAGCGGCGGCCGCGCTAGTGGCATACAACGCGGTCGCCAACCTCTGGCTGCTGCACCCTGCATCCTGCCCCATCCCCCCCACGATCCCGCCGACCGAGCCTCCCACCTGCGAGCCGTGCTTTGGCAAAGTCTCCAGCGCTGGCGCAGATTATGACCCTATCTATACACTTGACTTAAGGTTAGGCAGGTGGGATGGTAGTCGATCATACAAGATATTCGACAATGTGGCAGTCGGGGAGCTCTACTCCGAGATGTCTACTAACTACCACGTTTGCCTTGCGACGCAGAGCTCCATAGAGAGGCTCCACGAGCTATTGAGAATTGCAGCGCACTGGACAGGACCTATTTCAGTGGCTGTGTTTGTGGCCGGCGATGAAATGAGACTGCTCAGAGCTTTCACAACATGGTTGTATAAATGCCAGCCAGAAATTTATTCAAGACTAGCTTTACACATTATTATGCCTGCGGAGAAACCAGGGTACAATGACGGGTCACTGCCGAAGTGGGCGAGGGATTGCGACGTCATTCCTCTGCCGCACGAGGAACGAAAAGCCGAAACCGTGGCTTGGAGAGCGAGGCATCCGTATCCTCAGAATCACATGAGGAACTTAGCGAGGAAGAATACTCACACATCTTATGTTTTCTTAGTTGATATCGATATAGTACCTTCTACAGGGATGGCAGAAGCCTTAAATCAGTTTCTCGACAGCTCACCCAAATGTCCGCTCTGTGCGTACGTGGTGCCTACATATGAGTTGGATCGAAGAGTTGCCAAGTTTCCTGCTAATAAATCAGAGCTGGTGAGGCTCTCTAGAAGTAAACTGGCGATACCATTCCACAGAAAAGTGTTTATTTATAACCAGTTCGCTTCGAACTTTTCACGGTAAGTTCGTCATGAAAATTATTGATAATTAGGTGCAACAAGTCGTAGTTAATTATTATAAGCTATTAAAAATGTAGAATTAAGGCTCAAATCTAGAATTTATTGAATTGATGTGTCCCTGAAGAGGAGTTTCTTTTTAATAATAATTCTTTATTCATATATCAACATCTAAATACATCAAGTTCCTTAGTAGAAGTACTTGTGTTATGCGTATTACTATTACTAGAGTAAAGTACGCAATGAATGTATTCTTCAGGTATTTTTATATTGTAGGTGGGAAGCCAGTGGTGGCAACGAGAGTGAACTCACGCACATCAGTCACAACGTGACGAACTTCGAGCTGCTGTATGAGCCATTTTACCTGGCGTCAGATACTGTCCCCGCTCATGATGAGAGGTTCCTCGGCTACGGGTTCACGAGGAACTCGCAGGTTAGAAAAACATTTAACGACTGCTGTTTTACATAGGAACTGCATTTTAGAACTATGCAATTCAAAGAAATACTTAAATATGATCGCCTGTAGCATATTTAGGTGCTGTATTTCCCGTAATCTGTTAGCTATATTGTGCGAAATAATAACCAGCCACAGTATGGTAAAAATACTTGTTAAAAGCAAACTTAAAATATTCAAGTTGAACGCAAGTTAATCAGTATGTAGCCAGCCCCCGTCGCACCGAGCTGGTACTGATAGATTTGTTGCTCCGCCTGCCAAATGGTCCCGTTTGGCACCTCTCCATAATCGACACTTTGGATATTATGTTGTTCGCTTGCTGAATATATGCTCTACGTTATTCCGATTTTTGCACTCGTTGCAAAAACAAGCAAACTGCTGAAATGATAGGCAAGCACTATATTACATAAAAGTCGTTGTGGAGAATTGCATTCTTGTTTTGTTGACGAAATATTTATCATGTGAGATAGGTCTGTAAACACACATCAGAAAAAAATGTTTGATTTTTTATAAATAACAGTAGAACTACACGTGTTTCCAATTATATTTTGGGAACCATCCAAAACATATGATGTTAAGAATATTTAACAGTTATTATTGACTGTAAACAAACACTTGGGTGAAATAAAAACTGGACTTTAATTTCCAGGTATACGAGATGTTTCTAATTGGATACCAGTTCAAAGTGCTATCCCCAATCTTCACGATCCACTGGGGGATACAGACGAGGAGGAACCGTCCGTTGTGGCGGGAGAAACAAAATGAGAACAATAGGAAGCATTTCGAGACTTTCAAGAAGGAACTGTTTGCGCGGTATAGGAAAGACCCTCTGCATTTGCTCAAAAGGCCGCAACAGGCTAAAAAGACCTAGGCATCGCGAGGCCGTGCTGACTCCGCCGGCCTCGGACTACTCATTCTTGCAGCATTATCTTGGACGCTCTTAGTTCTTATGACAGAATGACAGGAGAATTAGTATACGTGTGTATAAGTGTTGTAAAGTGACTCGTGTGTATGGAAACTGTGTCAGACTAAGTGTTGTAGGGTATTTTTGTAATATAACTGAACTATAAGTGTAAGTAGACATCAAAGTAGCTAGCTAAAATAGATTTAAACATACTATGTTGTTAGACAAAAGTAGTTTATTACACCTATTTAAATTTTATTCTGTAGACCTAAGTAGATGATACAAGCGGGCTAAAGTTGATTTTGGAACAAGCTTTAAAAGGAAAACGAATACTTGGATGTCGGTTTAATTTCAAAGTGTCTTTATTTCAATTGATAACAATATTTTTATTCACAAGATATTCTGTATCCAGGCTCGTATTAATAGACAATTATTTCGACTTTCAAGTGATCCTGCAGTATATAGTATTATGATGGACCCAAAATCAGTTTTAGCCAGTAAAAAAATATATTAACTGTAATTATTATACTTAAATCTATATGGCTGTTGTATAAAAATTATGTCGTTAAGTATTAGAAAATAATGCACATTTATAAAAGTGAGATTTTGATATACATAGATAGATATGAGTTTGCCATTTCATTGGTTCAAACGTATTTATTTTAAATACATAGTTACAATATGATATTGTTGTGTTCTTATGAATTAGATAATGAAGAATGATCAAGTCTATTTGTATAATGTGTTCGGATTATTTTGTTGAAGTCAGATATTAAATTATTAGATCATTCACAATCATCGATCTGTCAGAGGCCTTGGGTTCATAAAGAAACATAATTTGTTACATTTTGGATTATCTATCTTTATCTTTAAAAATACACCAATGGATAAATCAGTTACTAATTATTTTGATGGTGTTTTAGAACGTTTAGGTCGGTTGAGGATGTCTGGGATCAAACCTCTGAAAGGCTCTCCACAAGTAGGCACAAAGGTTGTATCATTTTAGCTACTCTGTAATATTATATTTGCATTTAATCGATGTTGTGTTGTCTATAAATGTGATACGCGTAACTGTGTAATATTATTGTTAATTTCACACAGCTGTTATTAATATTTAAAGACGAGGGACACAGATCACAGTTTTGGTAATACAGATCCCTTTAACTGTAATTTTATTTATTCAATAAAATAGTAGATATAATATGAAATACCTATCTGATAAAAATGTGACTAACTGAGGCACGTTCCAGGTGGTTATTTTTGCAAATGGAGGAAGCTCTACTCCGCTTGTACGCAAAGATAACACAGGAGACAAGAGAAAATCCTAGTGAACTGAACGGCAACGTTTATTTTTTGATGAATTATTTCTGATACAAGTATTTTATTAATTGGTTACCGTTAAAATGAGAAACTTTGGTTGCAAAAGGAATTTTATTTATAAAGCTTTTACCAGCGGTTTCGCTCGCATCTCAAAAGGATAAAAAGTAGCCTATGCCTATGTGACATATACCAATACACACAGCGCCATCTATACCTACCAATACTTTTGTTTTCCCTCGGGAATATCAAATTTTTCCGGGATAAAAAGTATTTAATCCGGACTTCTAACTTTACGTCTGCAAAAATTCAAAGCAATCGGTTTAGTAGTTACGGCGTGAAAGCTCACTTTCCGATTTATACCTCTAATATTAGTAAGGATAGAAGGTACGATAAAATAAATAAAACGCCAGTGTCTCCGTTTTTTGTTCCCAACTGTAGTTTCAAGACATACCCGGGCTTATATTTATGAGCAGCGTGTGCTGTATATGTATTTCAATTAAATAATTCCACTATGCCTCATATTAGTTAATAAAAATTCTGAATTGATTTTTACTATCAGTCCCTCGTCTGCACAAGCCCTTAATGTGAATGCGTTGTTGTTGAAACATGTACCTTAAGTAAACTAGCTGAATGACTGTTTTAGAAAGATTTTTATGTACCTTTTTGCCAATCACAATATTAGTTGTCTGTTTAAGCTAATGTATGTTACCTATAGTTAAATGTCAAAGCACTGTTTATAGAGCGCAAAGCCTAATGCTAGGAGGTAATTAGGTACATGCCTAATTGAAGTATTTAAGCAATTTATTGTTTAATACATTGTTTGGTATTTCTTTAATCGTTCCTATTTTTCTATTATGTTATAAACTATTTGTTTACTTTGTTACATTTGATAATTTTGTTATTTATGCTATTATTGTAAGTACATAAGTTGATTTATGGTTTATTAAGATTGTATGTCGAAACAGATGGATCGATTTTGATGATTTTTTTGTTGAGATATAGATGTGATATTGGGTGTAAAATTAATAGAAATGTACCTATGTCTGGTGTAGAAATTTTTGTCTATTTAAATAAATTTTGACGTGATCCAACTTGCAGCTGCAGTTAACAGCTGATTATGTGATAAAGGTGCGTTTGGAGAATTTAAGAATAATTTGGTGCCGCGCATTTATAAAATTATGGTAATGTAAATTACATAAAATATAAGGTGTAGTTTTGAAACCGTGGCATATCCCGGGGGCATGTCACAGAAGTCATAAAGGTTCAATGTAAAAGAAAGTTTCGGACCAATAGTTAAAAATACGGCTATAATAAATCATTTAAGTTCGACAATACTTCAGAATAAGCGGCAGCAATGTTTCTTATTGGAGTTTTATGGAACTAGGAATAATATCAATTACGTGTGTTACAAAACTAGTTACAAAACGGCGGCGTGTAGTTCGCACTTACGGATTTCCGTAATTTACAGAAAAATGAAAATATTTATGTACAATTTTTTTTTATTGATTCGGACTCAGAATCGATAACCGAGTTACCTAGAAAATGACGCGGCTTTAAAATAACACCTTGTATAATTGGTGATTCTAAGATATGTTTTTTATAGCTCATTGTTATATTTGAAAATAGTTATTCAAATGAATTATGTCATGCACAATTTCATATATTTATTTACTGTTATACAATTCGAACGAGAGTTTGTGAACGCTGTAGCCTTTTATTATTTTTAACACAATTATTCAATAAACAGTTCTCAAATCCTTGCATTCCAATTATTTTAATACTGAGTGAATGAATGTGGACGCATTTTTCTATGTGATTAAATTTATCTGGTAGTAATAGGGGTAAACGCCGGGTAACACCAGAGGAATTATAAGTGGAATTCCTTTACTTTTATAGGTATTACAAGTGAAATAATAAAATTAAATACGTTCGACTAAAATATTAATTTGAAATATCGTGCGACGTCACAACGTGCTACATTTTGTAGTAGGTAGGTACTTTGTGACGTAACGACCTCGCACTCCTAAACTTAACTCCATTTTATCTGAGTATTGTAACTTTATACACGAAAATAAAAAAAGACGCGTCTAATATTTTTACATTATCTAGTTGACAGACTAATTAGATTTTTAATTTTCATATCCCGACACTATTCCTCAGGTGTTTATAGGCGGCGTTTATCACTAATCAAAATGAAAATACTGAACACAAAAATATCAAGTCAAAGTCAATTCAATTAATCCTTGACTAGGCACTTTTGAAATGTCGAAATTGAATTGTCCGTCAGTCTGTTTGTCGGCGAAGCTAGGTGAGCACCTTCCTGTCTTCTTCTAACTTTATATAATTCCCGAAATGGTTAGTTACAGATGAATATAGATACTATGAGTCTATAATCATACGATCCATAATAATTTACCAAATTTCAGTTACAAACAGTTCTTTATCTCCGAAGGGGTAGCCAGAGGTGCACATTACGGCATTCAGTGCCACTGTATAATGTAACACCCACTTTTCACTATTTACGTCATATACCTGGCACAATTCCAGACTCCGCGCTACTACCTACTGAGATTTTTTTTACAATCCAGTAGTACTTTACCCGATCCGAGAATCTAACCCGAGACCCTTTGCCCAGCAGTCGCACTTGGGACCACTCGGCCAACGAGGAAAAGTAGTCTTTAAATAATGGAAATTAGGTCTATTATAAAAATGGGTGAGAGAAAACACCGGTATCCTCTTGGCTTCTTCTGGGATCATCAATGAATGCGGGCATGAGCTAATAAACATTTTTTTAGAAGCATAATAACGACATATGACATCATAGGTTATTCGTCACCGAGGATAAATAAAACAAAAATAGATGGTAATTGTTCGACAGATGTTCATTAAGGTCGATAAAAATTCTTGTTAAACATGGAGGTCGAATGTCCAAATACTCAAACACCACCGATTTTAAGTCGCTTTTTTTATAGCATAAGCCGGTAAACGAGCAGACGGATCACCTGATGGTAAGCAATCGGCGTCGCCCATGGACACCTGGAACACCAGAGGCGTTACAAGTGCGTTACCGGGTTTTTTGGGATTAGGAGTTTGAGGATCGATGGGGATTCAGGGATTGGGGAGATTGGGAAAGGGGAGGGTAATTGGACCTCCGGTGACCTCTTAAACTTAAGTATAGTTTCTACTACAAATTCTATGTAAAATCATAACGATGGCACGGTATTAAGTACTATATAAAATTGAGTAAGAAGCCTTTCAGTATTCAGGCGTAACTGTGTTATGACATTTACTCAGCATTCACTAACAGTATTTATTTTATTTATCTCTATAATTGAGACAATTCAGCCTAGACATATAGGTTCAGTCTTATCTACAGACAAAATAGTCAGTTTCTATTTCATATTATCATTTTTCAATGAAGATGAAAGCATCTTTTTTTTAAGGGGGGAAAATCATCGAATGAGTGCTCCCGCCTGGGTGAGGCGGGAGGGAGTGTCAGACTCTTACTGACTAAAAACCACCCCGTTCCTCCTCCTGCACTTCGAGCCGGAGCCCCGGTAACCCGTTAGGTTCTCCGCGACAAGACGAAAGCATCTAGGTTTACATTATTAACCCTTCGGGGGATAAAAGGCGTGATGTTATGTCTACATAACATCACGCTTTTTACGTGGGACTCATAACATAAATAGTGAAAAGTGGGTGTTACATTGTACAGTGGCATAATGTGCACATCTGCCTACCCCTTCGGGGATAATAGGCGTGATTTAATGTTATCAATACATAGTATAAAACAAAGTCGCTTTCGCTGTATGTCCGTATGTATGCTTAGATCTTTAAAACTACGCAACGGATTTTGATGCGGTTTTTTTTAATAGATAGAGTGATTCTTAAGGAAGGTTTGTATGTATATACATATTGCACCCGTGCGAAGCCGGGGCGGGTCGCTAGTGTTACATAAAATAACAATCTACCTAACACAGTTTTAAACAGATAACATAATAATAATATCAAATGTCCATAATACACTCCCCCAGTTAGTACGTTGGTTCGGAATCCCGTATCGCATTACGCAGCGGTACAGAAATATTCAGCACGAGTATTTTCATAACCCGCTGAGCTATTTACGTTGCTCCATGCTGCTATTGTTACAGGAGATTCGTTATGGGAGGTACAAGATATATTATAGTTTCCATGTTGCTATACGATCACATCTAAGGAGTTACCTACTGATTATGATTCGTTTGTTATTTGGAATAGCGAACTTTGTATTAAATTTCGAAGAAAATTGAAAATGTGTGGGTTTTATTGCTGTTAAAGATCATGTAGTTTGTTTGAACAATGTACAAACATTTGTATGACATTAATAAGATATACATATTATAAACTACCGATTAAACTAAATAAGAAATGCCAAATAATCGCAGAGAGCTCAAAGTTTGTTTGAAAAATGAAAAATTTGATTGGGGTTCGACCATTGGGTGACCACAGATAATATAAAGTAGATAGATTATAAATAAATATACACATGCAACAATTTGACAGTTGAAAAAATATTACATTGATTATTTGAATTATATAAAAATATATTCACTCATTTTTATGAGGTCCTATATTAAACTATTTATTGATATAAATCACGAACACGTGCAAATGTCATAAATAATTACGTAAAATTTTATTTTAACACGATTTGCTGTTCGTTACGTAGTATCTTTAATGAACAACTTAACAATCACACAATGAAAGCAATGGAAAGTAAATGCCTCTCAATATTATCTTACGTTTGCAATGCATCAAAATTCGTTTAGTTAATCTAAATCTGAATGTCTTATGCCATAGCGTTAGTAAGAATATGTCTATTTTTAAAACTCTGTTGTAATTTATATCGTGTTAGAATATAAAGCTACTGGTCGTGGCCCACACCAGTCGTTAAAACACGTTTAATAAAGAATTTCCATGCAGTTTTATGCTTCCATATGTTGTTAATGTAAACATGTTGGCTGTCTATTCAATTCAATTCACATTTAATTTTATGTTCAACACTTGATTTCTTTAACCCTGCCATTCTTTGAAGGAGTATCTACGTAGAGGTACAGGAATAAAACAGTCAAAAGTTTAATTTATCAAAATTGGATGGGGATTACCATGTTCAGAAACCACAAAAAATTTTTG